GTTGGGAGGCTGGAGCCTTCAGAAAGCTTGGCTCTCAAACAAAGGGCCCAGGGCTCAGCCCTCAGCCCAGGCCGGCTCCTCTCCAGGCTTCATTAGGAATAAGGAGGGTCCTGGGCCATAGGCAGTCCTCTCTGAACCCAATCAATAGTTTCTGGGCTTGTTCCACGTCCCAAGTCCTGTCTTGTCCTCTCTCTAGGCATCAAATCTCAGCCCTGCTCAGATGGTTTGGAGGGACCACAAGCCTGCAGTGCAAGGCGAGGCAGCTGGGGAGGGGCTCTCAGGCCGTGAGGCTGGGGCTGGGGCAGAGCAGGAGGGTGGAGGTAGGGGGGGAGGCACAGGGGAAGCCAGCTGTGACAGCCCTAGCCCTAATTAGCCGGCTTCAAAGCTGGCTGGAGAGAGAGCCCGCCCGCGTGTGTGCCCTGCTCACTCAGGCGGGTAAGACATTTCTGTCCTAATCAGAGGAGAGACTGAGAAAAAACACTGCCCACCACCCCCAAGAGCCTCTAGACTGTGAGCTGGCACCCAGAGTCAGGTGCAAAACCCCCGGAGCACAGGAAATCGCTCTATTTTGTTAAAACTACCAGCAACAATAGGTAAAATGCCCTGAAGAAATGTACATCCTTTGATGCGGTGATGCTTTTAGGAATTAACCTAGGTAATTGGAAGAGTGCTACAATTTATTGAACTTTTAGGTGCTGGCTCTGTACCTGCACCATCTGATGTAATCCTCACACAACCTGGCGGGACAGGTACTGTCACCTTTTTACAGATGAGGACAGGGACTCAGAGATTAAGAGACTTCCACTTCCACAGGGCTCATAGCTGGCACCGGCTCCTGCCTGTACTCTCTACCACGATCTGCCTGTGTCTCTGTCTTTTGCCTGTCTTTTCTCCTCTACTACAAAAATAACTGTACATTCATTCCACTCTGCTGCACTCCATAATTTGTTACCTTCCAGAGAGGCAGGATTGAAGGAAGAATCTGGTTTGGGGGTGTTCCTGGTTTTGTAGACCTGATGGTTTTCCCTCCGGAACCCCCTTTCCATAACAGAAATGATTAGACACTTGGAGGATAGGGGTAGGACACTGGAGTCTCCCAAGAAAGTAAAGGATGTCCATTGGTTGGGATCCCTGAGTGGCTCAGCGGGTTTAGCGCCTGTGTTCCGCCCAGGGCCTGATCCTGGAGTCCTGGGATCAAGTCCCACGTTGGGCTCCCTGCATGGAGCCTGCTTCTCCCTCTGCTTGTGTCTCTGCCTCTCTTGCTCTCTCTCTGTATCTCTCATGAATAAATAAATAAAATCTTAAAAAAAAAAAAAAAGGATGTCCATTGGTGAAGTGGAGATACCCAGTCATCAGGATGAGGAAATGTCTAAACCAGGAATTAGAAAGCTGGCTGGGGGAGTGGAGGGCAGCACAAAAAGAGAGTTCATCAACCCCCTAAAGTTACACGAAAATTTGCATGTTTGTGAGAGTCTGGCCATTTCCTCCCAGGAGAAGCACCATAGATTTTTCAGGTTTCCAGATGGGTCTGTGGCCCCAATTTTGGGCAGCCCTGGTGGCACAGTGGTTTAGTGCTGCCTGCAGCCTGGGGTGTGATCCTGGAGACCCGGGATCAAGTCCCATGTCAGGCTCCATGCAGGGAGCCTCTGTGTGTGTGTGTGTGTGTGTGTGTGTGTGTGTGTGTCATGAATAAGTAAATAAAATCTTAAAAATAAAAAAAAATCCATTTTGAGGAAAGGAGGGTGAGTCTAGAGAAGAAAAGGGACTGTGCTAGAGTGGGCAGGTAGATGATCAAAGGTCCAGTGCCTTAAATGTGGCATAATCTGTGCTTGGCTTCCTTCCCCAGACATGGGCCTCACGGCACCCTGGGACAGCATCTCTCCACTCTGGAAGCCAGCCCAGATCGAGGGCTAGAACACCCTATAGTACAGAAGTCACCAGCTCCAGATCCTAGTGATCCTCACTCTTTGGGGATGTTCAGAAGAATGTGGTCTTGGAAAACTTCAGTGTCCTCTTCTGGGGTTGGTTCTTAGAGGACAAAGAGTTTGTGACTAATAGAACCATTTTCAGGAGGAGGAGTTGGAGGGGGGTGGAAGAGCCAAAGTCTGACCCATGAAGGAGGAGTCTGGAGGAAACGTGCCTTGAACCTAAATGGCAGAGAACCCACAGTTCCTCTGTGGTATGGGGTGAGGGTGGGAGAACAGGTAGAAAGCAGCTGAATCAGAGACTGGCCTCAGGTGAAAAGCTTCCCTTCAGGCCCTTGACCCTCCACCAAAGCCTCACTCTTCCCCAAGGAGGCACCAACCCACTTACAACCGCCCACAGGGTGACCCAGGAATCTACAAAATCTCCAAGCACATGCATTTAACTTGATTTTTCCAAACAAGGGAATGGAGACCCCTCTCCAGGTGACAGGGCTCAGGGAGTTTGCCTCCGGTCTCTGCTCCAGGCATGGTCTCTCCTAAATCCCCTGCACTTTGAGCTAACACTTGCCCTCCTCTGAGGGCTGGTTCATTAAAACAGTGAGAGCAGCCAGCCAGGAGGTCCCCCCACGACTTCTGTAAGGTAATTAGCCCTTGGGCCCCCCATTGGGGAAGGGGGCATCTAGAACCGTCCTTTCCCAAAGAGGCAAGGTTTCCACCCCACCCCCACCCCCCATAAAGCCGATTTTTTTCTGTTTTCTTGGGCCTTCTTCCCCTCCTTTGGCACACAACTTTTCAAGGAGGGGGCATAAGACGCAACAATCTTTACCAAAATTACCTCCCTCTCACCCCCACTCAGGGAAAGATCACTGTTAGTCCACAGTGATATCCAGGGACAGCTCCTGCTATCACTGACAAAACATACCCAAAGCAGACAGAGCTGGGCTCCTGGGGGCTTAGATGCAGGGGGAGGGGTGCTGGGCCAGCTCTCCCCCAAATCTTCAACAGAGACCAGCTCTCCTTCCCACCCTGCTCCATCTGCACCACTGGAAACCCCCCCCAACCTCCCCCCCCCCCCCCCCGCCCTCCCTTCTCAGGCTTTCACCATTCTTTCCCGGAGAGGCACTCACAGTTTGTAATTTAACTCTTCCCTGCAGCCCTTGTGGGGTTCCTTTAGAATTTCGCAACAAATGGAGCTAAGGGGAGTGACTCCCCTGCCTGCTTCTTTGATAGTTGAGGGAATCTCGTATTGGGACTTCACACACATCATCGTTTGAGAAAAAACTAGTTTTAACTTATAATGTTGACCACCCGCACAAATCACTTGGGGGAAGGTTATATATTTTGGGAAGGGGGCTCTGCTGAAATCCTCGAGCTTCATACATACAATTCCAAACAAAGCCCGACATACGACTTCAATTACCACCAAACATTTCCAGATCCCCTCCCCCAACATAAACTAACACACACAAACACATCGAAGTAGGGGTTCTAACTTTCTCCCTTATCCCAAAGACTGCCAACAAAGGGTGGTAGGGCACCATTTCCCCCATCGTTTAGCTAATAAAAAAAAGCAAGATCTGGGGCAGGGAACCTCTTCTCCACCCCACCCCCAACCAAGTAGGTCTGGGGAGGGGGAAAGAAGGGGTGTGGTTTGGTTAAACTAATAAAATGTTACAACCCTGTTAAATACAATTAAAGGGCTAGATCTCTAGAAGATAATTAAATGCACTTTATTATAATTATTAGCTTTTAATTTGCACTATTATCAAGAAACAGGAGACGGTGAAAAATGGAGTTCTGTGCCATACTTGTTCCGCCTACCCCTTGGTCTTCAAATCAATCCTTTGGAATTAAAATACTAAAATATTCCAAATAGTTGAGGGAAATGATGTGTATTGGAAACTGCAATTCTCATACCAGCTCAAAGATACTTTAAGAAAAGTCTTGCCTTTTATTTTGGGGGGTTGAGGGAAGATAAGAAACATCTGTTATAAACATTCTATCAATCTTGTGATATAGAATGTCATGTAAACACCCAACCCCACCCCCACAGTCACAAAGAGCCTGCCCAGAGCCTTCTTCCAAAGCAAAGATACCCACCTTTTTTTTTTTTTTTCTTTCTGGACAAGTTTGAAAAGAAACCAGTCTTTTGTCAAAGGAAAACTAAAAATCCCACCAGCCCATCCGTCCCCTCCTCCAACCCAACCCATTTTTATTGCTTTTTTTTTTGGAGAAAACAAACAAAACAAAACAAAACACCCAACAGCAAAACCCCACACATAACACACAAACCAACCTGGAAACTTCTAATCTGAATGCCAGAGAAGATATGGGGGAGGGGTGGCAGGGAGCCCACTACAGGGGGAGAGACACAAGGCCATCTCCAAACCCCAACATTTAGGAGCCAATGCTCCCCCTAAAAATGGAGGCAGTCAGGATTGGTACTCAAGGTGATGGTGGGGTGGGGTGGAGGGCGGTGTTGTTTCAAAGCACATTTCACAAAGCACTACAAAGCACTTTCTGCCCACCTCAAGCGCTTGGGGCAGAGAGCTGAAAAGAAGAAAAGGCAAATAGGAGATCTTCCAGCCTGCAAAGGGAGCAGGCCAGTGGGGTGAAGGCCATTCTGCACCCCATCTCGCCCTGTCCCCCCAATCCCACTGGCGCAGGGGTTGGTTACCCACCCCCCAAACCCCCCACGGTTTCATCTCTTTTGGAAGTGCTCCAAAGATCGAGTGAAGGAGACCGGACTTGTGGAGAGAGAAAGGGAAAAAAATGAGAATCCAAATCTCGTTCAAAAATATCCTACAGCTTCCACAGGCCCAGCGTCAGTGAGAAGGCTCACAAATCTGGCTTTGGGAGTTGAATGTAACCCACTTCCAACTCCTCCCAGCGAACACCTCTTCCAGCAGGCCCAGCCCTGCCAAAACGCCAAAAAATTCAAACCTAAGTAGGTGATGGTGTTTGAGAGGGCACTGAAAAAAAAGAGAGGATCCCCCTCAACGCCCCCTGCCCAGGGGCCGCTGCCTCCCCCCCCCGCCCCGTTTTTCTTTTAAATAGAAAATATATAATTAAATGTACAGACTATTTACAGTTTTAATTACAAACCTGATGGGGGTGTTGAACAGAGTTCTCTTTAAAAAGCAACCTAAAAGAGAAATGGTTTCGATTGTTCTTTATTTAAAAAAATAAAATAAAGGAGTCTGTTAGGAGGGCCCCCCCCCCAGCAGAGGCAAGCCCGGTGCGGCCCGCCCGGGGACCCGGCGCAGGGGCACCCCTCACACGGTGGTCTCGCCGTGCCGGCTGTTGGTGAGACGCGTGTAGAACTTCCTCCACGAGTGCAACGTCTTGCCGGACCAGATCCAGAAGCCCGACGTGATGCCCACGATGAGCGTCATGAGGTATTTGATCATGTAGACGGTGAAGTCGGGCGACATGCGCGGCGTGTAGTGCGCCGGGCACGGGATGGCCAGGCTCTTGCAGTGCTGGCTCACCCACGAGCGCTCCCAGTGCTCCCGAAAGGCCTGCTCGTAGAAGTAGCAGGCGATGACGATGGTGGCGGGCACGGTGTAGAGCACGGAGAAGACGCCGATGCGCACCATAAGCCGCTCCAGCTTCTCCGTCTTGGTGCCGTCGTGCTTCATGATGGTGCGGATGCGAAAGAGTGACACGAAGCCGGCCAGGAGGAAGGACGTGCCTATGAACAGGTACACGAAGAGCGGCGCCAGCACGAAGCCCCGCAGCGGGTCCAGGCTGTTGAGGCCCACGAAGCACACGCCGCTCAGCAGGTCGCCGTCAATCTGGCCCATGGCCAGGATGGTGATGGTCTTGACCGCCGGCACGGCCCACGCGGCCAGGTGGAAGTACTGCGAGTTAGCCTCGATGGCCTCGTGGCCCCACTTCATGCCCGCTGCCAGGAACCAAGTGAGCGACAGGATGACCCACCAGATGGAACTGGCCATGCTGAAGAAGTAGAGCATCATGAAGAGGATGGTGCAGCCCTCCTTCTTGGTGCCCTGCACCACCGTGCGGTAGCCGTCCTCGGAGAAGCGCTCGTTGCACACGACGCGCTCCTGGAGCACGAAGCCCGCGATGTACGCCACCGAAACCATAGTGTAGCAGCCGGACAGAAAGATGATGGGTCGCTCCGGGTAGCGGAAGCGCTGCATGTCGACCAGGTACGTAGTGACGGTGAAGAAGGTGGAGGCGCAGCACAGCACCGACCAGGTGAGGATCCAGAGGCGCGCGAAGCGCGTCTCCTCCTGCGAGAAGAACATGGAGCCGTCCGGCCGCGCGGGCTCGCAGGGCGCCGCGCAGTCGCGCTCGCCCAGGAACTTGTAGCTGAGATAGGACGGCACCTTGAGGACGCGCGGGCAGTGGAACGGGTGCTCCAGCGTGGCGTAGCGCGGGGGAGAGCCGCCGCCGCCCGGGCCGCCCGGGGTGCCCCCGGCCCCCGGCTGCAGGCCCGGCGGAGGCGCGGTGGTGAGCAGCGCCGGCGTGCCGTCCTCCGAGTGGTTCTGGCCCACGCAGATCTGCTCCGCGCCGTGGCGCGGAAAGTGCTCGCAGCGCAGGCGCTCGGGCCACTGGAAGCCGAACTTGTTCATGAGCGCCTCGCAGCCCTGGCGCGCGCGCTCGCAGATGGAGCGGCACGGCGGGATGGCCTGCTCCAGCACCGTGCACACGGGTGCGTACATGGAGCACAAGAAGAAGCGCAGTTCGGGGGAGCACTGCACCTTCACCAGCGGGTAGAACTGGTGCACCTCCAGGCCCGCGTCCTCCTGGTTCGTGTGGCCCAGAAGGTTGGGCATGATGGTCTGGTTGTAGGCGATGTCCGTGCACAGCGGGATGGAGATGGGCTGGCAGAAGCCGTGGTCCGGGATGGAGATGCCCTTCTCCCCGTGGAACTGGGCCGGCCCGGCGGCGGGCAGCAACAGCAGCGGCAGCAGCAGGCGGGGCAGGGCGCTGCGGGGCCGCATGCTGGCCGCCGCCCCCCACTCGGCTCCCGGGCGCCCCCCCGCCCCCGCCCCCAGGCCCGAGACCGCGCGCGCCTTCCCCGCCGCCGCCGCCGCCGCCTCGCCGCCGCCTCCCGCGCCTCTTTGCAAAGTTTGCTGGCGGCCGCAGAGTTGGGGAGGCCGGGCGGGGGAGGGGGGCGGCGCGCCTGCCGGCTTGCTCGCCGCGGTCCGACTGAGCCGCCGGAGACACCGCGCACCGCTTGCCCTCTCTCTTCTTCCTCCTCCTCTTGCCTCTCCCCTCCCTTCTCCGCCCAGCGACTTCTTTGTGCCTTCCTCCAGCCCTCACCTCGGCCTCTCCGATCCCAATTAGTCGGTTTCAAGGGGGCCCCCGCCAGCGGCCCCGCCCTCCTCTCAGCCCCCCAAAAAAGGGATCCTTGAAACCGCCCCGTCGAGCTCTAAGCACCATCCCAAAATGTGCTCTCGGCCAATCAGATTTAAACCCCGGGACCAGCCCCGAGGGCTGGATTGGTCGACCACAACATAATGAGATCAGAAACCAGATGCCAACAAAACTTCCCCCCTCCTTTTGCTTTTTAAAGAGACAAGCTATTATTATATTAAGGGCTGTTTGCCCAGCACAGGATTTCTCCGGAGTCGTGGCGGCGAGATCCGGAGACGCTCATTCCCCAGAACCGCGGCAGACCCAAGCCCCTAGCCCTGGATCACGCTTCTCCTGGGGCGGGGGTGGGGGTGGCTCAGGCGCGGTCCTGGGTAGGGTCTCTTTAAATCCTTGCCTCCGCCCCTGCTCCTAGAACCCCACCTATTCCAGTCCAATTTTTCAAATCAAATGAAAGTTTAAGTTTAAATGAAGTTTAAGAAAAAAATTTTAAGAGAGAGAGGAAGACTTGAGAAAAGGGGGGTGCGGCTCACAAAGACTTTTGTCTCAACTCTTTCTCGAGGAGTCGGGACAAAAGTTTCACTTCACCCAGTAGTAGACCCCTAGGAGTTTGCCTCGCCCCCTCCCTCTTAAACACACCCTGAAATAACTCTCTGAAAAATGAGAGCCTGTCTCTTTAAGAGGCTCTTAAAGGGGCCTGGACTCCGGGGCGTAATTGCCCCGTAGCGAGCACAAAGGAGCCCATTATGGTTCTTTGTGTTCGGTGGCACCTCAAAGTGAGAAAACTCAGGAACTTAGAGGCCCCGAGCCGCAGGGTTGGGGCGGGGGTGGAACGGGGAGAGGTGAAGGAGAATAGCCTAGAGCTGCGCCTTCTCCCTCCCCCTTCTTCCGAGGCAAATCTTAATTATGCAAAGTAAAGTTTAGTTGCCATAACGAGGAGGTCTTAATCGAAAGTTAATGGTGGGGGGTGGGGGGTGACAGGCAGTTTGAGTGAAGAGATGACTCTCTTAGGCCGTTTGGGGGCATTTACCTCCTCTCTCCCCACCTCTGCCTCCGCCCCCTAAAAGCTTCCAGATACTGTCTCCTGGGAGAGAGGGGAGCTTTACCCAAATCTTAAGTGATTCCACACCAGAAAGTGATGGCGTGTGTGGCGCGGAAGAGGGATGGGGGCGGGGAGTTTGTGGTGGATTACCCACCCCTCCCCCCATCTCTCACCTGGTTGGGCTTGGGTTGTGGTGGCCAGAAGGGTTCCTACTATTTTAGAAAGGTCTTTTTTTTTCCCCCTCCTAGGATTTTAAATTTGGGAAGTGGTGGGGGGTGGGGGGGCGGATTGGAAGGATTTGCAGTAAATCTCCAGGGCCTGATACTGGATGATGGATCAATTATTTCTATTGTCTCTCTCGAGGGAAGGGGGGGGGGTGCTTAAAAAGAAAACTGAGTTTTGGAAACCCTTTTGCTTCTCAGTTCAAACCAAATCCTCCCAGCCTGGTGAGCCGGTTCCTTTCCAATCTAGAAAAGGACTGCTTTACAAACAAAACAGAAACAACAACGAAAGACCTTTGAGAAAAAGAAAGAAGAAAGCAACAGGCAGAAGAAAAAAAAATTCTAAGTAGATACATACAACAGATCCAGGTTTGACAGGATTCTTTTTTTTTTTTTTTTTCTGGATTGAATGATAAACAGATTTTCGAGTTCTTTGCAATGTGAAAATGTTCCTTACTGTATCCTGGAGAAGTTGCCTTTTCACTACTTTAGGAAGAATATTTTCCCTCAAAATCAGGGGGTTACACTTTTTTTGCTGTCCATTCCAATTCCAGTTCAACCCCCAATCCACTTGGTTACAGAGCAATTTAAGGAAAGGTAAGTTGTACTCTGGGGGGCCCAAACCGAGCCTGAGGCGCCCCTCCTTTGGGGCTCCCCTCCCAGTGTCTCCCTGCACATCTCTAGAGCTGGGACGAAGCCTCTGAGCTGAGCAGGGAAAACAAAAATACTACTCTCCACTCGGGAAGCTCACTGTCTGATAGGAAATTGAAAGTCAATCTCCAATAGAATTGCAGCATCTTCAATTTCCTTCCATGACAAACCTGTTTTCCTGCCCCAGGGCCAGTTTTGAGTGACAGTTATCGCTTCCTGAGCCACCCCTACAAAGGGGGAGCTGGAGGTGGAAAAAAAGAAATAACACGTATTCTTTCATTCACTCAAGAAAGCACTCATTCCTTCAACACACTTGTGTCGAGTCTTCTAACTTCAAACCACTGGGGTAGGTGCTGCGGGCAACGCAGATAAAGTAAATGGTAGCATCTCTGCCCTTCGAGAGAGTTTATGGCATCCCCGAAGAGCAATGATTCTACTAAGACTTTACATTTGTCTAGCATTTCTATGTGAAGTAAGAAATCATGATATTTCATGATTTCATGATTACTCTTACCTTCCGCGAGGGTCTGCAGTGTGAACAGGACCCGAACCTACATCTTCAGATTTCAAGTCTATCCACTGTACATTCCACGCCACAAACCTTTCAACAGCAGGAGATCTGTAACTAAAGGAAATTAACAGATTCTCTCAGTTTATTATTTTTTTTTAAGATTTTATTTATTTATTCATGAGAGACACACAGAGAGGCATAAACACAGGCAGAGGGAGAAGCAGGTTCCATGCAGGGAGCCCAATGTAGGACTCGATCCTGGGTCTCCAGGGTCACACCATGGGCTGAAGGCGGCGCTAAACTGCTGAGCCACCCAGGCTGCCCAGGAATACATTTTATAATCATAAAGAATCTTTCAAAACATGAAGTTACATGAAATAAATATTTGTTCAGCAAACATCTTGAGTATACCTGGTAACTACTACCATTTTTTGAGCTCCCACTGAGCACTGCACATACATATGTATACAAAGTAGGTATTGCATTGTGTTTATGGATGAAGAATCTACAATTAAAAATAAAATAAAATAATTCATTAAAAATGAAAGCTCCAGTTTTAGGAAGCTGAGGGGTGACAGTCTGTCATCTGCTGCAGAGTACAGCTGCTGTTCAGCCCCGAGGAGGAACATTTCTGGTTGGTCTTGGGTTTCTGCGGTAGGTGGGAGCCCAGGTGTCCCCAGTGCACAGTATCAATGCTACTTCTCCAAATCCTGAGGCACTGCTGTCAATCATCTCTCAACTGACCAATCTGATATCTGGGATAATTGTTGAGTGCCCACTGTAATGACCCCAGGCACCCTGTTTCATGGGATAGTGCGCTAGAGCAGAAATCTCAACAGAACACAGCAAATAGCTGGTAGAGAGGAAAGAAACCTGGTCTGGGGCTCAGAACATCAGGGCTGTGGTTAGGCTCCACCTCACATCTGCCAGGTGAACTTGGGCGAGTCAATTTTCCTTCCTTAGCTTCAGCTCCCTCATCTGTAGAAGAGAATCACAAAAACGTTTATTGATCTTCCCTTTGGGCCAGATATAGGAAACTGTGAGAATAATATGTTTGGGTCATGGAAACTGTCCTTCCTCGAAAGGCTTGTGTGTTACAGATAAGTGAAAAGACAGCCAGTCAGCAAAATCCAGCACACCACGGGCGTGCATGCTCAGAGACAGCACAGGGAGGGAACTTCTCTCAGCTAAGGAAACCTGAGGGGCTCCACTCCAGGCTCCTTGCTCTTACACAAAAATCCTCTTGTCTCTGGCCTTTCATTTTGCCAAGGGAAAGAGTCCAGGCAATTGCATGCATCCCTGTCTCCTCCTCACTTCTTTCCCCTTAGAACTCCTGCCTTCCAGAGAAATCATCCCCGCCCCCAGCAAGGTTATGCAACCTTTCTTTATTTCTTCAATCCTGGGTCAGTATTCTTTCCCTCCAGAAGCACCGAGCTCCCTCCACCCTAAAGGGCAAGGGTCTGTATCTGTTTAGGAGGAGAGGGCTGAGGAAGAGAACATGATTTCGTGTACTTTGAATCCTCAAAGGTTTTATCCTCTAAGCAAAAATACTCTCAAGGGAAAAATGGGTTTGAGCCTAAAGAGAATCTACTTGGCTACCTGTCCCCCAGCCCACAAGATATCTCTCTCTGCTTTGCAAGAATCTTCCTTTTCTCTCCTGTCTCCCTCAGCCTGGCCACTGAGACCTGGAATCCGCCTTCAGGTGAGTTGCCGAATTTCCTCTTCCTGAACTGCGGTCCCCCATTTAGCTCTCAGGGAACCAGCCCTTAGAAATGGGCCCCAGAATAATCAGGTCCAGGACTCTCCGAGCCCCCACTTCCTGGCCACTGGTAGGTGGCCCCCTTCTGTGTACTTCACCCCACCCTCTGCCAAATTCCAAGGCTGCCCCCGGGCTCTGGGGACAGCGGGAGGGGAACTTGGCAGAGTCTAGCTGTTAGGTCCTTTATCTCTCTAGCACCCTTCCCCAAGGTCTTTGGATGGCAAAATGGGCCATAAAAGGATTAAACAGATATAACAGATGATCTATTAATTAAGGACTTTAATTAGCCCAGGCCTAGGCCAAGCAAGAACAAGGTGTGGGCTGCTCAGAGCTGAGGAGGGAAAACAAAGCTGAAAAATCAGTGTTGAGTTTGGTGAGTGAGGTTCTCAGGGGTGACTCTGCCTTCTTGGTCCAGGAAATAAGCATCTCTGGGAATGGATGAGTCAGATATTTTGTCTCCTGGAAG